TATCAGCTACAACACTTCAGAAACATTTCGCCTAACATTTCATGGAACTTATCATAACATGATAACCTTGGAACCTCTGGAGAAGGACATTCTTGACTTTGAAACGTGGCTCAGGGGAACCTAGTCCATAACTGACTTTTTAGGACTGTTCCAAAATTGTACCAGCAGAAAGAAATGTTTATCTGCTTGGTTCTTCCTCAAGAAAAAAAAAAAAGGGGGGGGGGGGGAAAGCCCTGTATTAATGTTTAATAGATAACCACATTTTGCCATTCTTTATCTAAACATTAAGTCAACAAATAAGCAAAAAAGAAAGTCTGGTATGTTTCTAATTACATACCCATGTTACAACAATCTGATTGTAAAAAACATTCCTATCAATACAAACATCTTCAGACTGTACTGTGAATGCACCCCCTGTATACTTTTCTCACCATAAGTTCTTGAATTAGTTCTCTATCCTAACCCCATAAAATTCCCATCCTCAAATACAGAAATAAGGTACAAAAATGAGTGTCCTCTTACTACATAGGAACTTGTCCAGATTTTTAAGATATGTTACCCATTACACTTTCAACAGGAGCTTCTGAGCAGGACATAGCCAACATAAAAACTGCAAAATGAAATGATTCTTGGACAGCTTAACTTGACCCTCCTGGACCTGATAGTCTTGGCCTAGCAACAGGGAAGACTCTTGTTTTACGTTGTCTGAGATCTAGACGGTCACACTACTGCAACAACCTGGGCTAAGTCACAAAAAATGGCATCAGGAAAGCTCTGTCAGGAGGATACTAGCCGAAGGACCAGCAAAACCTGTGACAGCATGCCACAGAACAGAGCGGCTCCAGAGTGGAATCACTGGCACTTCCTGTTTTGATCAACTGGTTCCAAAGATGACACAGACTTCTGGTTACTCCACTCCTGGAAAATGCTTTGAGCACACTGACCTGCATTGCCCATTTGTGGTTTGAGCCTGAAGTGGCTCAGCCTGTTTGTTATGGAATTAACTCCTAGCAAATAGCTTGCCACCAAGGAAACTCAGTGGCACTAACCCAACCTTACAGAATAATTGCTTCCTAACTGAACGGAGATTTTATGCAGTCTTGATGGTTAATTAGAAAACCATTGCAGGAACACCACCTTGTCACTGGCAGAATACATTCTGAAACATGTGGCATGTGTTCCTGGATACTGAACAAACAAGCTCCATCGGATGAGAAGAGATGGTTCTACCACCACCGGTTTGGGAGGAGACAGAAAGATGACAACTCTACAGACACTAGAAGCTGAAAAGTAGGAAGTAATTTCTAAACTGTCAACTAAAGGTATTGGTGCAGCAGTTGGAGATTAAAGACCTCTAACGTACTTCTAGTTGATGCCTTGCTGCAGGCAAGTCAAACTAAGTGAGCATTTTACCTTGTAATGGAGAGTGTGGGATGTGTGTGGGGTAAGTCATCCAAGTCCAGTTTTCAATACCCCAAAGTAAGCACACAACAAAAATCTTTATCTTAAATAAACAACATGACACAGCAGAGCAGTTGCAGAAGGTAATTAGGCATACATAGCCATACTGATTAGGTGTAATATACTAAGTTGTATGTCTCCAGTTCCACCACACTAGAAATGCCGAAGACTTGCACAAATTCATGGTTGCAGTTGAAAGACAGACATCTACTCTACTAAGAAAGATGTAGGAAAATTTTATGCTGTCTCAACAATAGAACTAGCAAAAGTACAGTGAAGGCCATATTACAGAGAGATGCCATATTAAAGAAAGATTAAAATAAATCTTCTTGAGAACTGTCAGAGAGATGTATGATACTCTTCATTGAGCCTTAACATGGAGGACATAACCAGAGAGATTTAAGCACAATTTCTCTCTGTACACCACCTGGGAACTAACAAGTAAATTATCAGGCAGCAGTTTAAGATGCAAATAAAATGCACCTTTTGTTTATAACACATTTAAAACTGAAGTACTGACTTTCACGGGGTTTTTTTGGGTGTCAAAATCATAAATGAGCTTAAAAAATACACCTGGTCAGGCTATGAAATACAATACCACCGATCTCTCACCCAGGAAGTACATAAAATACCTGATCAACACCTGGAACAATGTACTCTGTCCCTGTCCACATCTCGTATTTATAGTTTTTCCCCTCTTTTAGCCTTGGTAACCTTAGTTTTGTCACCTTGCTATTGAAATTCAAGTATAAAAGTATGAAAACAGGAACATATGTAGGAAACAAAACATACACATGAACAGAAATGATTAGCAAAAGGACTTGGTTTTATTTGGTTCTGATAAGCTCCCTTCTTGCCATTTGTGTGCTTGATGACTTACAAGTTCACGCTCCTTAGTAAAAACAGGACAAGCTGTGTCAAGATGGGGAAATTTTGTGGTGGATTGGCGTTGCCACTTTATTTTTTACCAGATCAGCTATTTACATACATGGAAAGCATAAAACAACCTTCCTTCCTCAACTGTTGCTATAAATAAAGACAGTGGATAAGAAGGGAAAAAAAGTAACTTGTGCAGGTGGTTGGAAGGTGGAATTGGGTTTGTTTTGCTTTTCTCTTTTTAAAGTAATGCTGCATCCCAAGTTTTCAACTCAACTGTATATGCTTATGCCTTACCACTGGAAAGCTTTTGCCTAGCCACATCAGCAAAATAGTAAGTATCAGTAAAAAACCCCATTCTCTCCCTCTGCGTAACAGAAGGGCATCCACCGTTTTTCAGTTCATGTCAATTCAGGATAGCACTGAAAGTGCTTAAGTGAAAGACACTTAAGAGGTAAATACAGATGGTATCTCGAAGACATACTAATTAGCTTTTACTGGTACTCTTTATTCAAAGAGCTCACCTATACATGGCATCTCCAAGCCTTCCCTCAAATCTCATCTATGAAAGGAGTGAGATTTTTTCATTAATAAAGTTTACAGCACTACTTCTCTAAATACTGCATCGCTCTAAATGCTTTGGGAGTGGGATCACTGAGAACAGAGGGCAGTGATGAAAGAACTGTTTTATGATGACCCATTCTCTACGCTCTACCATTCTCTAATCCTATAAACCCCCGAGATTTACCCAAACACAGATTATCCTTTCACTTATGCATATCGATTGCTCTTCTAAACAGATGATGTGATTCTCTTGTCCATGGCAGACCATTCAGGTTAATGAAGCTATTTAATGCTACAAATAGCTCTTAAAGTACAGTCTTCTATTAGTATGCACATGTTCCCCAAACACTTAATCTCAATTTTTAAATTTGCTTGTAATTGCAAGCCTGAGAACAGAAACTGTTCTTCCTGGTAGACAAAAGAGTGATCTTTCAAGACAGTGCCTCATCATCTGCAGAGTCCTCTATTGATAAACAATTTGAGAACTGTTATTTATTGTTCAACTGTCTTGCTCACTGGAGAAGAAATTATCTGCTCCCCTCCTCAGGGAGGAAATTAGCTCTTGGGTTTATGTCAGTGCAAAGTCTGTAATTTTCAGCACTGACTCCAAGTCCTTTGCTTCTGAGTAGTACGCAAGTATGTTATATCTATGCTAGCTGGTGCTTTGTTTGCAAGATGCACAGTACAACTGCCCTTTGAATTACCCAACATCCTTTTAGGAATATATGATTGAATGAAATGAAATAATACTTGCCTATCTTCTTGTCTTGTCAGGCATAAAATAACCTGAGTAAAATAGGAAGGTGAAAGAAGCTAACATACATCATCAAGACATGCATTCAGCACGTAGACCAGATGACGATCTTTCTCACCTGAACTACTGTAGATTGACTACAAATTTTGCACTTGTCAACTCGAGTTCCAACTTCACAGCTTTGTGAATTTGCTTATGGTGTGCAGAAAGTTACAAGTTTTGAGCAGTAAGTCAGTTAAAGATAAAATATGGGTTAGCTGAATTCAATGTTGATCTTTCCCTGGAAACCATTTCTCTCAAATTCAATCTCCAGAAGAGGATACATGCCTTCCCTGTCAGTCAAATGTACGTAAAGATCCCTTGGCTGATCTCCATAAGTGAAAGAGGCATGGTCCTGTTGTAAGCAAAAGTTCCTATCCATCTGAAACGGGGTTCAACATTGTTTGTAACAGTGGCCAAAATCTGCAAGATAACCTAATCTGAGATGCAAACTTCCTTTGAGAACAAGCAGATGATGACTGGTGACACCTGCTAGTCTAAGTCTCTGAAGCTGTCCCACTTGTTATAGAGGTCCCATTTCTACCCAAATGGGAAAAAGTGAGAAGGGTCCACAGCATCACAACTTAAAAACCCCTGTATGTGGGCACTGCCTCAGCTTCAGTTCAACAAAACAGGAACAGTGAGAAGCTAGATGTAGGAGGGCCAATGCTCACTATTTATTTTTTTAAACAGATTTAGTGTTGCAGAGGAGAATTCTGAACTATGTCAGAAATCTGACATTTCAGGGTTATTCTACTTAGCCTCTTAGTTACATAAAGGAAAAAACCCAGCAAACTACAAACCAAACATCCCCATCATTCATAATCAATCACAGGAATGAGGGGCAGTGGAATTCAGTATGAAAAACGCCCACAACGTTTTATTAATAGCATTAATAATAAACCACCAGTGTAATAACATTTTATACCAATCAAACATTGTGCCAGAAGACAAGATGCCCAGCAGGCATGTCATTTAATTGTGTTACCAGTCCTTTATTTCAACTAAAGCATTAGTAATAACCATGACCACACAGATTGCACCAAGTAAAATTTGTCTGATATGGTAACTTTTTCCCAATGTATCTTTCTTTAACAGATGTCTCTCTAGTTGACAGTGTTTTGTCTTTTTTTCTTAATTGAAACATGGACAGAGAGTAGATCAAACAGCTGTTTCAGTATGGCATTAAAGACTATCATTAGCATAAAAAAAAGGCGGCTCAGAACTTTTTATAAGAAAGATATGGTGGCTGCTTATATGCTTTTTACTCCTGGAATACTTGAAATAAAATTTTGCATGCATTAACCTTACCTCGGAATTAGGAAACTGAATGAAACTGTATTGTACTTCAAGCTTCCTCCAGACTGTTTTCATCTGTACTTCCACTTCATTAGTTCAAAGGTGATATTATGGAAATGCATATTTCTATTAATCTGTAAAATGGGAAGAGAATTTGACTTAAGAGATATCTGAAGAAATTGTATTGACAGTTTATAGTACATAATGTGAACTGCACATTGCAGATACTGGCATCTAGAATTACAGAAGCTATCTGCTATTATGAACTGCTCCTAGCTAGAAAAAGCTTTTTAGACTCTTGCATTTCTAACAGTTGTACGGTTGCAGTATATTTGTAGAACACTAACACTAAAAAGCATTTAAAATTAATTTTATTTATATTATATCAGTAAATTATTCACTCATGAACAGCGTTGTCAGGGAGGAAGGGTGTTGAAAATATCTGTAGATAGCTTGCCTCTGAAAATAAGCCTTTGTGATCTCTCCCAATAACTCTTGGATTCACCTGGTCTAGACCAGCCAGGTTTGCAAGCCTCCAGCTACCAGGTTTCTCCAATTTTTTAATTTATTTTTTTCAAACAGGCAGCAGACTAGAGCAAGAACACATTGTTGGTGACACCAATGGAAAAACCAAACAAACAATACACAAGTCAATCTTTATTAAACACCAGAGAATCTGTAAGGCTGCAGCTTCACAACAAAAATCCACTGGTGTCACCCCACTAGTTCCAGTACACAAGGAACTGCAGTGTACTGAGAAATAATTGATAGGCTTATTGTAGCTGCAAACAGGCATGATTACTCCTGGGAAGAAAAAACAAGCGAAGAATTTGGAAAAAAGTACTGGAATAGGGTGGGGTTGATTTTTTGTGTCTTTGAACTGGTGTACATCCAAGCATTAGAGGAAAGCACAGCGCAGGCTCTTACCTGGCACTAACAATTGCAAGCAAGCCTGACTTGTGTCAAGTCCCAAGGTTTTCAAATGCATGTGGATAGCTAAGTTAGGCTTAACAGCTTTACTACTTAGATTCCATCTTGAGCGTGTGCCACCTATTGCCAACTCTTCCCATTTTATCACAGTGTCACAATTTTTGAATGTTTCCATCATCTGAAGGTTTCAAACAGTTTGTACAATAATTTTATCATTCAGAAGTCCCAGCCTTATGACTGCAAACATAACCTTGAAAGTAACACAAAGGCTCAAACACCAGTAATCCAGCTATATCGTTAAGAAACATACAATCAATCTTACAGTGTAGAGATTTAATGACTTATTTTTGAATGTCAACACCAACAGTACTGGGAACAGGGATGGACAAACCATGTGCCTGCATGATTTCCAGTAGAGGAAGAGTTTCAGCATTCACCTTCCTTCTCTTTTCCTTTCTAAACACCATAAAGACCTTTACCATTACAAGAAGGTCAGAATACTTATGTCTCCATGTCACTTTATAAGCACTGTTCCTCACACACTGAGGTTTAATAGTCTTGGTAATAAATAATAAATTTGTGTAAAATGGTAACCCGAAACCATCCTGAATATCAGATAGCACCAGTTCTTAAAGACAACTGTCTCCACTGTGCAGACAGGCTGACACTTGACTGTTATTTCTTTCATGGTAAAACTGAAAAAAACATTTTTGCCATGCAAAAGTGTTTGTGGAGATTTTCACTTTTTAAAAGTAAGCTTGTAAAGAATCTGCAAAATGACATATATCCATCTCTTTCTCTCTATAATCAAGGAACTTGAGTTCATCGTCGGTTGGACTCCAAAAGAAACAACTATATACAGAAAAAGATTGGTAGGCTTTCTATTTTTACACCACCTCCAATCCCCTTGTATCTATTATCTGATTTACACAAAGGCCACTTTGTATTATTTAAAGAGGCTGCTTTACAAGGGTAAAGATGTTTCTGAACAATGCTGATTTTTTTGTTTTGTTTTTAAAACGATGTCCTCTTAATATTTTTCCAAACTCTCAATTTGATGAAATTCTTAGTAACTGTTAATTTCTGTAAGCATCCACTGCATTGCCTGATCCTGTATCAGATATCGAAGCTCTCTTACCAAACAAAATTATTTTAGTGAACTTCCTGATCTGCACAACTCTAGGTATGTCTCCATTAGTATTTTAATTCAAATCAGGACTGTGCTTTTGAAGTCAATCTTAACCAATTTTCCTTGCTTTGCTTTACATTGCAAAGCAGTCTCCAAGTACGTGAACCAGATTTCTTTTGAATAAAACTAGATCACAAAATGAGCTTCTGGTGTGCACCGTACACGCTCCAACCACTAACAGGAATTCAGCCACAGAATCAGACAAGGACCAGCTTGAAATAAAACCCTCACAACCTGTATAGCGTGGATGTCAGGTTCTCAGCACCCGACAGATCTGATCCTATTACACCACACTGCTTGGTAACGTGGACACAGCCTCTTTCATGACTTACTGAACTTTTGTGTCAGTTCCAAATTAATCTCTCTCTTTTTTAAAAGAGGAACTACAAAACCTCTATCAGAGATGGGAATGAAGTTAATGATGATTTTTAATTTATGCAAGTGACCTCACTGTGCTACTATTCCTTCCATTTCTTCATCAGCATGAGATGCTACTCAAGGACATACTTAATTTTATAAAAATCAATTTACTTAAATATTTATTTTATACAGTTATTCAAAATGCTTAATTATTAATGGATTAGTTTTTAAAAATGTTTAGTGTCATTCTTGATGGCATCTTCCAGAGAAATGCTATCAAGAACAGAACTACTGAAGAAATTATTTGCACAACTCCACCTTCACTTTATTAGAACTTTATCCGCTACAATGACTACAAGAAGCACCATAAAGAGCCTTCAGGCACTTGTCACTAGCTACATTTTAAATCCAGATTTATCTGGGAATTTTTCTAAGTGTTAAGATTAAATTCAGGATCTTCATATCCTCTCAATTCAGTAATATTAGCACCCAATCTGGGAAAAGAAAGATCTGAATTACATGACTAATTACCTAGCTAACTCAGACAACTGTAAATTTTCTGCCATCGGCAGGGCCCAGGAAACAGTCAGAGTATCTAAGCTGATCTAATTTAAGCCTCATTCTGTGTTTTGGGGGCGGGGGGGAGGAGGGCTACCCTGCTAGTGCAGGGCAGAGGGCAGGAACCAACAGCCATGAGCAGGACAGACACACAGACAAGGAGGGACTTGCAGTGGCAAAGCTCAAGTCAGACTGACTCACTTCAAGGAGGAAACCTTATTCGGGCTGTGGATTCCTTTTTCTTCCCACTTATCTCTAGATCTTGCTTCCCTTTTCAGTAGCTCCAGTTCCTCCAGCTCCAGGGCCACATCCAACCCATTCCCTCATCTGTCTCCTCTTTCGAAGAGAAAAAAGCTTTCCCGGCTCTTGACTCTCCCTGTGCTCTGTTCCTTCAGTTCATTCCCTGTTTTGCCCCAACTGCCTCACCAGTTTTCAGCTCAATTACTTTATTTACATTGAATTATCTCTTCCTCCTGAAAGAATCTTGTTACTTGTTACAGTTGGGGAAATATGCCAAACTTTGTAAATTGCCCTTTATTTTGAGGAGGAATAAGTTAATAAGGAATAAGTTACTAAAAAAGTAACTTTCAGTCCTTCACTGTGAATTAAGAAGTTTTACAGCAGAATAAGACACCAGAGGTAGATGAAGGACATTCCTGATGTGGATGTAAACATCCAGTACCCTGTAGCTGAATAAGCACCACAGTTTTCAGTCCAGAAACAGACAAGAAAGGTTGGTATGTGGGAAATCTGCAATTGAAGGAAGACAGGATGCTCAGAAGGGCTTTGCCTTTAAATGAAAATTGTCTTACCACAGTTTTTAGAAACAGAAGGGTGCAAATGGCAAATCTTTGTGCTATTAGACATCTCTAACTCAAGTGTGCATTTTAAATGCAAAATTATATGTATTTAAGGAACATAATTTTGGAAAGTAACTTTAATTAAAGTAACATAACAGTTAAAGTAATTCAATTGTAATTAAGTACATGATCATACAAGGACTCATGGGTACAGACTATCGGTTAAATACATCTCCATTCACTCCAGCTTACAGTTACTTCTTTCCTGCTCTTTTAATTCCTCCAGCCACCAGCACTTCACTTCTGCAGGGTTAACTGTTCAGCTAATCATACCTTTACCCCAATTTATGAAACAGAACTTGGTTTAAAGCTCCTGTAAATTCAGATCATGTCACAGACATGGGCTAGGGTGATAACAGATGAACAGTTAAATCAGAAAAAAATCCAGGGGTGATAAACTTCAGCATCTGATTTGGGGTGGGAGAAGAGGGGAGAAGGGGAAGAGCAGGTTGTGCTAGCAACATGTCTCTGTATGCAGTGTCAAAGTCCACAGCCAGCTGATGGTTCTGTTAACCATAAATAGGAGAAGTTTCAGAAGCAGAATTATTCATTTTGGGGTAAACTATAGTCCCAAACAAAAGGCTTTTTGTTAGAAGTCCTTGCACACAAATGCACTGCAGACTCATCTGACAGCCTCGAAGATGCTTCAGTTAACTATCTCATGCCTACCACTAGAAAATTTAGCCAGAGTTGCTGTAAGCTAGAAAGAGTTTGAAAAATAGTGAGTATATTGCTTTTAGAAGTCTATTATAGCTGTGAAATTTGAGTGGAATTTTAAAGGGAAAGTAACCATACCAAATTTCTAAATCCTACTTCAAAGTTCTGTCCAAGGATATTAATTTCTCAATGAAAACCTTTTCAACAAATTTACACATGAGAAAAACCCCACAGCACACTAGAAAGAGCAATCACCTACCGCCTGTGGCACATTTGGGGCTTGGTGGTTTTGTCTGTGGAACAGTAAAGGTATAGGAGCAAGAACATCTCGTTGAACAAGCAGTCCTTCCAAATTCACTGGGACCGTTATATGAAATGAAATGAACTGGCTGAGCAAGCACATCACTTTCCAGCCTTTGATCACCAAGTTTTCCAGGTAGCAAGTTGGGAAATAAGAGCCTGAGATATGGTTCAAGCACATTTATCCAATCCTTGAGGTAAGCTAGTTCAAAATCATTCAAAATCACTTAAGTAAAAATACACCTATATGAAAACTAATTTTTAAAATTAATTTTATGCCT